CACAAAAATCACGACCTCGATAAATTTTGGGCCGGTCTAATATATATGGGTATAGAATGTTTTGCTTAGTAGAAGGGGAGGGAAAACAATTTATTCAACAAACAAATATTTTTTAATTGGCGAACAATTATTTAGTGGGTATTTACTTAAGTGATGCAACATTTACTCACAACACACACATTTATTAATATATATGGATGCATTATTGCATTGAATTAGAATTTATCAAATGAATTAGATAAAAAAAAAACAAAATAACAAAAAAACACATACAAACTGAATGAGTAGATGTTTTTTTTCCTGTACCTATTATATGCCCAGGGTTGTACACGTATGATCGCATTTTATAATTAGAAAAAAAAACACAAACTAATTTCGTTCAACATGTGTGCGTTTTGTAAGAAATTTCGTTTCTCGCTCATACGATTTATTCTAAAATGGAAAAATGAAAATTATGGAGACATTTAAAACAACATAATGATTAAAAACACATTAAACAAAATATTATGATTGAAATTGTACTTTAGTATATAGACACAAATAAAAACACAAACAAAAAACAACAACAACAACAACAAACAATAACAAATATGAATTATAATGGTGATTTTTATATTAATTAATATTACTTAGCATAGAAACTGATAACAAACAAAATACAAGCAGAAATGAGAATAGGATTTATCGGAGTATGGATGGAATATACAGATATATATTACAAAATGTGGAAATTTGAGAGAATAAGAAATATGATGTGAACATGAAATTATGATATGCTAGCACACACACACACACACACACACACACACACACACACACACAATTAGTAGCGCTATGCAACGGATATCAAGTCTATTATCGAAACTGGTCTCTTTTCTGTGTGCGGTGCATATTTAAAATGATATCTGTGCGCGCATAGGATGTGTCTCGGTGAACGAACGTTTGAAAACAAAACAATATTCTTAAAATACAAACTCATTAATTGTTTTGTTTCTCGTGGATTTTTAGGCTTTAAGTATGAAAATAGATTTAAAACGAATAATTTGAAAGAAAAAATGGAAAACAAAATACATAACACATAAACAATTGAATCCAACTGAATTTTTATGCATATAATTTAAACACACCCACACACATATATATGAAAATTTTAAATACGTATTGAAAAAGCAACAACAAAATTATGATATGACAACACAATTTTCAAACTTATGTAAATAATCGAAATACACAGACATTTTTTTTTAAATTCTACTACTACCAAAAACAATTTTACTTTTGTTTCTTTTTTGCCTTATTTTTTCGTCCATTTTTTCAGTTGCATCAAAACTTTTTTTTCGGTTTCATTCAGCAAAGGTACTGCTTTTTTGGTTTTTATAATTTCAATTTTTTTTGGTTTATTGTATCAACACTGTTGATTGAACTTACCGCTTTTTTTTGGTAATGCCCTTTCTTGGTTTCCTTCAACTATTCAAAAAAAAATGAATAAACACGACCTTCAAGACAAACAACAAAAGAGAAAAAAGTTGAATCAAAAGAAAACCTAGTACGTTTATATACAAAAACAATTAATGGGAAACAATAGAAAAATTACAAAAAATACTCATAACTGCGAGTGCTATAACAATAATAATAGACTAACAATCATATTTCCAGACAGAAACAAGAACGTATGCGAAATGGAAGTAATCGCACCTTCTCGAAACAAACATAGTCACGCTCCACATGCGTCTCCTTCGTATTTCAGTTGAATGGTTTCTGATTTATAAAAACGTTTTTTTTTCTGTGTCATTTAACTTTTTGTCGCAATTTATAAATTGTGGAAAAATACGCAAGTTCCATGCTGTTTTGAAATAAATATACTATCTTAACTGATTCATACCGTCGTCTTTCTAAATAGTACTAGCAAACAACCGAACTTAAGAGCTTTTAAAATATTGCATAAAAATCATGTAGAATTGGGACTTTTTCCAGCGACGATAAATGTAGATGAACCAAACTATTTCGATTTAAATTGTCGAATATTCGTTCAATATTTGATTTTCCGTTTGCATTCATTGAATTCTTTTGCTTTCCCATTTGTTTCCCATTTGATTTCACATTTTTCTTATTCAAATTTTCTGCTTCGAATCGAAACTACAAGTGATAAATATTTAAACAACAACAAACGCACCCAATGCGTTCATACAAACAAACTAATTGATAACGTGCAAAAAACAACATCTGTTTTTAATATTCAAAAGATAAAAAATAATAATAAAAGAATAAATTGTGTGGCCTTGGTTTTTTGATATATGTAGGAAAAAAATGAAAACAAACAACAACAACAAAAACAACAACAACAAAAACATTGAAATTACAAAAACTAAACGATTTTATAATGTTATTCAGACGACTGAACACCTACAACTAACTAAATGATATATAGCTAACAAATACTCACAATCACTTCATACTATTGCTGACAAACATCATACTGTTTTACAGAACTCTAATCTTTAAGTTAAAAGACTCTTTAAGACACGCAACATACAAACAACGCTGATCTAAAAGGAAGAAAGAGGGCAGGAGAAAGTGACAGCTGAAGCAGCCCTTCAATCATCACAACAATTTGACCAAACCTAGGGAACGCTTCTTTTTTTCTCTCGAAGAAATTCTTCGTAATCATTTCATTCGATCGAGTTTCTATTTCAATTATTTTACCGAGGAAAATAAAAAAAAATTCCTATAAATGTAATTGGTTGCTTCAAAAATGATTTCACGCCATTTGTTTCTTCCGAAAGCACAAAAAAAAACTAAAATTAAATTAAACAAATTAACATTGATTACTAAATTAAAATTAATTATTCGGCTGACATATGCAACAAATTCGGCTTAATTAGATCAAACAAAATATATATTGTATGTCCAAATCAAAAAAGTAAAATTATGAGCATTTTCCACATATTTAATCAATTTTCCAAAATTAATCATACAATTTTTTTTCAAATTAATCGTGATTGTGACAACAACAAAACAAACAAACAACAAATAATCATATGCAATGTTTTTATAATATATTTAAACTGATGTATTGGAATGACTTAACCATATTCATAAATGTACAAACAACAAATTGATTGGATTTAAACTTTAAACGGTATTTTTTGGTGTTGCATTGTTCCCTCCTTTGAAAATCCATTTTCATCGAATTAAATGTTACCCTCAAAAAAATTAAACTTAAATACGCACACACACACACACACACAATCTTAAAAAATAACACACATTTGGCCAAACAAAATATGACATTTATATGAATAGCCAAAAAAGTTTATATGAAACCAAAGAAAAATCGTTAATTTGTTGCGGATGGAAATGTATCCGTTGATTGTGAACTGG